TTCGGTTTCTAATGGAATTTATAAAATCTCTTTTTGAAGATATTGTTTAATTTTAAAAAGCAAGTAAGGGATGCTCAGTGGTTGAGCATCCACCTTCAGCTCAGCTTGAGGGCATGATCCCAGAGTCCTGGGATTGGTCCCTATCCAGATCCCCACAGAGACCCTGCTTCTCCCTCTGTTTATGTCTCTTCCTCTCTCTCTCTCTCTCTCCTTCTCCCTCTTTCCCATGAATAAATGAAATCTTTAAGAATAAATAAAAATAGAAAGCAAACTAACTATCCAAAACTGTCCTTAATTATTTTAAGTATAATTTTTCTTAAGGAAAAAAAGATTGTTTCTAACGGACTTTTCAAGATCATGGCAGCAGTATCGAATCCTGTGACATCTAAGTAATGAGTTTTTTTTAAAAAAAAGGAATTTTGCATTTTTTCACCTCTGAAATTAATTGTATTTGTGTATGCAAATGTGCAAAATCTGTAAGAACTGAAGATTTCATCGGATTTATTATATGAATTTCTACAAATCCATTATTAGTATGATACAGGATCTAGGTAAGAGTTACTGTTAACTCTGTGAAGTCATAGGCATAAAAACATCATTATTTTTATAATGAGAAATGAATGCTATTGAACAAAATATCTTTGCAAATAATTTTGTGAGTCTGCTATAATCTGAGAGAAAATATACACTCCACTAATAAATTCTATTTGTCTCACCCCACTATATGTTATCCATTAGAGTTGAGACAACTCTCATTAAGACATTGACTATCATAGGGGTGCCTGAGTATCTCAGTCAGTTAAGTGTTGACTCGGTATCTGCTCAGGTCATGACCATGAGGTCATGACATTGAGCCCCAAGTCAGGCTCTGTGCTGAGTGTGGAGCTTGCTTAGGATTCTCTCTCCCCAATCTCTGCTCCCGTCTCCCCACCCCCCTTCCCCACTCACATGCTGGCTCACTTTCTCTCTCTCTCTCTTAAAAAATACAATTTTTAGAAAAGAAGACATTGAATATCATAAGTGCAACACAGAGAAGAACAATAAGTAAGCACAATTCCCATAGACATTTCATTTTCTTCAAAAAATAGTGAAAACTGTTGTGTAAGATAAATAAATTTTCCCATTGTATAGGGAGAGGGCAATGAGTTCTTTTCTTTTAACAAAAATATGATCATTTACACAATAAGCCTGAGTGATTTGAAACATATTTCCTTGCAGCCCCTCACTGGGAACGAGGTGGTTGATTTGGCATGGGAAAGCTGACACTAAAGCCAACAAACTGGAGCACTACAGCTAAAATATTATGACTCAGTCACTGGAATTTAGGATAATGATGGATTTTTTATCTCAAAATATTTTTAAAGGAACAGATAAATTAATAAAACATTTAAATACATATACACTTCCAAGGCATATAGAATAATATCAAGTGATAGTGGGTTTAAACATCAGAGAAAACAACAACGAAACAACAGTAGTGGAAACTCAGACAAACTGAAGAGGCTGTCTGATTTGACGAAACCATGGCCCCCAAGTCCAAGAACCTTGCTCAGTAGCATCATTTCTTAGGTATGTGTTCCATGCGATTTCATAAATAAAAACAAAACAAAACAAAACAAAACAAAACAAAACAAAAACCTTGTGCTCTTCCAATGGAATGGTGCTATTTGAAACAAAAACTAGAGTATGTATAAATACAGATATTCTTCTTAAGAAGGTGGACCTTTAGGATCATTTTCTTAATGTTGTTCAATGTGATCTTCCTTTGTGGGAATTAAGGCCATTCAGTAGCAGTGTGTTATTACTGTCATTCTGAATCCATTAGAAATATTCAGGTGAGTTTGAGTAACAGCCTTTAAACCAAATTCTCCTTCTCTTGCTTTTAGCATAGTACTTAATAGAACATAAATTGTTCCTTATTTATTTTTGCCTATGGTATAGATTCTAAGAAAATATGAAACTTATCTCCTTTGCTCCTGGATATTAAGAGGAGCATTGGATGTAGTGAGTTTTAAGTTGTTGCAATTTGTCATTTATTATAATAACCAGTAACACATGGCTACATCTCATAAACTCAGTAGTAGTAGTTATTGAATCTAGAATATTCTGGGCAGCCCGGGTGGCTCAGCAGTTTAGCGCCTGCCTTCAGCCCAGGGCGTGATCTTGGAGACAGGGGACTGAGCCCCAGCCCCACGTCAGGCTCCCTGCATGGGGCCTGCTTCTCCCTCTGCCTGTGTCTCTACCGCTGTGTGTGTGTGTGTGTGTGTGTGTCTCATTAATAAATAAATAAATAAATAAAATCTTAAAAAAAAGGAAAATAGAATAGAATATTCTACCTCAAGTATAAAGTCCATGCTGGGGGGTAGGATGGGGTAGATCTAATGTTTCATAAAAGTATGCAGTTTCCATTATCTTTGGAAGCTTTATTTCCTTTCTTTAAAATCGAATAAAACATATGCCTATAAACAAATATACACCGGTTTGCGAAAGAGACATATAACATGATTATAGTAGATGTTATTTTAGTTTGAAAGTTAAACTTGGAATACCCTGCCATATGGAAGAACCCAAACTTAAGGAGATGCCAAATAAGCCTTTTATCTTAATAACCTTAAGAATATTAGCAACTTCAACTTAATTCTTAGGTCCAAATTATAAATAAATTTGCTTACATGAAGTTTTTTATTGCAGTTTGATACGTTATTTAAGTACACCATTAAGTATAATGATCTGCAAACATAATAGATTAGCTAAAAATGTTGGTATGAAATGCAGGTGATTTTGCACTAAAATTACACCAGCCTGTTTAAAATATTGAATTTATCATTAATTTTGCCAGTGCAACTCTATTTTAATTATTGTGATGTCATACTAATGTTTTGAAAGAAGTTATGAAAATAGTAGGAAGTGTTTCTGCTTGATATTTATTGAAATTGTCAATAGCAACCCACCAATCTATTAATCTTCTAGCATCTATCCACAAGGTAGGAGAGGCTCAGACAAAATATTTTACCTAATATATTTTTAACTTTTAAAAAGAACATACTGTTTGGAGAGAGTTGGTCACAAAATTTATCACCCATTTTAGGAAAATGACCCCTTTTATGGTTCAATCAGAACCTCATCTAACATTCAGCAGAAATCTAAGATTTCAAGCTGCCATCCCCACTCCTGTTTCCATGGGAATAGACTTCAGATCAGAAAAAAAAAAAAAGGATGGGGTTAGGAGCTTTCAAATAATCATTCAAAATCATGATGAAGCTTTTAGAGCTTCTTTCTTAGGTGATTATTTTGTAGCCTCTTAACCCCTTTTTGCCAATCTGTTTCCATGGAAATGTGACAAAAATGGCTGTCCAAGCCTCCAGCAGAGATTATTAGCATTCTTGTGAATTTCAGCTTTGGCTGCAGTCTAGGCTGGGCAAGATCTTTTTTTGTATCAGTTTTAAATATTAACCTATACTGTTCATATCCGTTGTCCTTTTTCTTCATAATTTTTACTTTCTTTAAAAATTCCCATCACAACTATATACCTATAATCAAGATCAAATCGATTGTGACATCACTGAAAAAGGCTTTAGTTTTACATTTTACTATATAAGCCAGGACATGTGGCTGCAGAGTGTCTGAACTTTTAGACACCACGAGGAGACATTATTTAGTTACCGGAGTCCATGTGTGTCAGGTGTTGGTAGATAGGTAACAAGGATGGGTTTCAAAATATTTAGCAACCAGTAAGGTACAGCACCAACTGACCAGAGCAGCTGGTTTGTACCAGTTAATTATCAGCCCTATTATCTAATAATAGGATATAAGATATGAGATATAAGAGAGTAAGCATTATACTCAAATAAATTATCCAAGGTCAAAAACTGAGCTCCTTATACAACTTACAGAAATGCTTAAGAGAGATACTGGGTAGAAATATATAGCAATCCATCTTTAAAGAAATCAAAGTTCATATGCTTGCATCATCTTTCATATGAAGGTCATTTGAAAATCAAAATCATTCTTATTATTGAAGACATTATGCTAAAAGAGCAAGAATATATATTTATGTCTTTGATAGAACCCCTGACAAGATATCTTGTGTTAAATGTGAAAAAAAAATAACAGCATTCTACATAGATATTTTATCTGTCCTACCTTCTAAAATTTGCTGAACAGATCAATCTACAATTTTTGCTAAGGGGAATCTAAAGTTCCGATTGACCTTATAAAGTATTTTTATTCTTCAGAACTCTGTTATTTTTCTACAGTTGGAGCTTTTCACCCACAAGGTCTGTCTTCTGACATTTGAACTGAAAGAAAGTAAATTTCAGTTGGTATTATCTGACTTAGGTAGGTTACTAATTTAAATGTAACACTAATGTACTATAGATACTAATCTAGCTTGATGCTTTCGTTAAGTAAATCATAACAATAATAAAATAAAGCAGCCCAATTAATTTTTCAAATCATCATTCCTATTCCCAAATGCAATTTGCCTTTCTTTGCATAGTGGTTAAATACATAGCCTTTGAGAGTAGGATTTGGTTCCCAGGCCTTCAGCTTGTTCATGTAAATAAAGTTTACTGGAATACAGTCAGCTTGTTTGTGTAAATAAAGTTTACTGGAATACAGTCATACCCATTCTCATGTTTTATTTTTCATAAGTTTCTATGGCTGCTCATCTACTAAAAGGATGGAGTTGAATAGTTTACAGAGACCACATTGCACAAAAAACCTATTTATTCTCTGGTCTTTTAAGCAAAAGTTTGCCAATCCCTGCTCAAGGGTTTAGTTGTAAAGAGCATACCATTTCAGGGCAGGAAATTCTGTAAGTAGTGAAGTCTTTTTTTTTTTTTTTTTTTTACAATCCCTGCTCAAGGGTTTAGTTGTAAAGAGTATACTATTTTGGGGCAGGAAATTCTCTAAGTAGTGAAGTCTTTTTTTTTTTTTTAATCCTAAAAGCAGTCTATTAATAATGGATAAAAATATTATTTCCTGGTGTCTGTACTTACATCCATGAATTCCACATTGGCTTTGGGACCAGTTGTTTCATTAAGAATTTTAATAGCCACAGGAATCTTTACTGTTTCTCCTTCAGGCACCCAGATACCCTTTGGGAGGAAAAAAAATAACATTAAATCCATATGAAGATACACAAATTTATACCAAAAACAAAATTTAATTTAACCACTCTATTAAAATCTTTAAAAAAGGGATCCCTGGGTGGCGCGGCGGTTTGGCGCCTGCCTTTGGCCCAGGGCGCGATCCTGGAGACCCGGGATCGAATCCCACGTCGGGCTCCCGGTGCATGGAGCCTGCTTCTCCCTCTGCCTGTGTCTCTGCCTCTCTCTCTCTCTCTGTGACTATCATAAATAAATAAATATAAAAAAAAAAAAAAAAAAGAAAAATTTGAAAAAAAAGAAAAAAAAAATCTTTAAAAAATAATTTAGAAGTTTGTTATCTGCTTTCATTTTCTGAAGATGAATCATATATTTATTCTGCTCTCAAAGTGTTTACTATTATACTATAAAGCATTACTATTATAAACTTCAATTTGTATTGTGAAAAAGGCTTTCAGGGGTGACAAAAATGAAATAAAATATAATAATATTAGATTTGGATGATATATCTACTTCTTAAGACTTGGAGAACACTGTTCCAGTTTTGATCTTCAATTGTCTCATTTGCAAGTTAGAAGATTGGGCTAAGTAATGTTGAAGGTTTTTTTCAGCTTTAATATTATTTAATTATTCCACAACTAAAACAAATACAAATATAAAAAAGCATAATCTCATGTTCCTAAAGTTTAGACTGATTTAAGAATTAGTTTTCGAAGGTGAATATTTTAGAATTAGTTTTCAAAGGCAAGTACTAGAGAGTACTGAAGCCATATTACTTTGGTTTTATTATCAAATATTGTGCATATGTATATAAAATATTTAAATTGGTCATTGCCAGTTCTCTCTTCTTACAAAAAAATAATTATAGTATCTGAACAGGATCTACATATTGGGAAAGTATAAAATAGGTAGAGTTTAAGTCGAGTACAACATTAAGGTAAATAATAGCATTTCTGAGTAAACAATTCAACCATTTGAATTAGGACAATAATTTTGATAAGATATAAGAGGATTCATTAATTATCTAAGATTTGTTTTGAAGCATATTGTCCCAATTGAACACAAAAGCAAATATAAAGTTATATGGAAAAAAAGAAAATCTCAAATTTTAATTTATTAGCTCTAACATCAAAAAAATCTTCTTAGTCCAGTTTTCTTTTCTTTTCTTTTTTTTTTAATCTCTCAGCAGCATTCATTGCCACCACCCACCCTTGCTTGACCCAGTCGGCCTGAGGAAAACAGAGTAAGGGATTCTTAGTCTAGTTTTAACATTAAGATGAAAGAGGGAAAAATCTCTTATTCCTAAAGAGAACATCTCTAGTTTTTTCTTAATATCAGTTGGTTGTAGTCATAAAGGAAAAACAAAAAAGCTTTTCACTTTGTACTTCTATGCTAAAACCTATATCTTTGTGTTATTGAAGTTTGAAAAAATGCAAGAGGAGACCTAAGCACAAGAATTGTTAAAAAGTCAAAATAATACAGAAATAAAGGCTTTAACTATTAGAAGGTGAATTCAAGAGTTATGTTCTTTTTAGAGTGAATAGGGACATCTTTATGTCAAATACAAAAAAAAATAAGCCAAGTTCCTTGTGGTATAATTTTCTTTAATTATTAATGCACAGACGGAGAGGGGAAGCTGGAGATCCATAGGCTACATTTTCTTAGTGATATCTAGGGTAGAGAACAGGATTACCATTTATTCAATAAAGTAACCACAGGGAGGTGACTTTATAAAGATATAGCATCAATATTAAAATATTCCTAAAGCATACTTTTGAAATAAGAAAATAAATTCAGTGTGAATTAATTTGTACTGCTTTTTAAATAAGTATAGTCATTATTTCTAGGCCTGACCAGACAAAAATTCAACTACACTAATACCCATGATATTGGTTCAAATCTTTTGTGCTTAAACACAGCATATCTCCAATCAGGAGGAAAAAGTCAACAAAGTAACTAGTTAAGCTAATGTGCATTTCAGTGGTCAAGAATAGTTCTTTATAGTTTAAGACAATATGCCCTAGTAAGAACTAATATATTAATTAAAACTTAGGATCAACCATACACACTGTAGGTATAAAATTCAAAGATACTCATGGAACTTTCAATACAAGTAATTTCAATAAAGGGACAATGCTCATGGACAACAGGCAAATAGTTGTTCATAATAAAAGTATTTATAAAGCTTCATAATTAAATGTCTTAATGGGTAATTTTTTCCTCCTCAGGTCACTAGATCATATTTAGTCTTGAGTTAAATGGTATCCATGATTTAAAATAAAATTCACTTTCTAGACCATACCATCTTTAAAATAAAAGGGCTGATTATTTGCCAGGAACAATACAAAATTGAATTATCATTGAAATGGAAGTTCATTATTTCTAGCATAGTATAAATAGAAAAACACAATAAGTTGTATTTTTTCAAATATACAAAGATTCTGAAGGCTAGAAAGTACCAAGTCAGCCTAGAATATTTTCTATTCAAATTAGGTACTCAATTAATAATTTTGAGTTCAACTAAACAAAATATGTATACTAAGAGGTTAGGAAATTTCTGCATTTTGACCTTAGAATAAAACAATTTTATTTTAAGGAGATTTAAATTATTTTTGGAACACTCAGGAGAGAAAGTTAAGGTTTATATTCTTATTGTTAATATTATTTTTGTTAGGTAGAAAAAAAGTAGAAAAAAAGTGAACGTTTTCTTAGAAAGTGCAAATTTCCTAAGATCCAGTCCATTTTAACAGAAATATTTGTAAAAACTGTAGGCTTGCCTATAGCTTTAAGAAATATAAAACTGTCAAAGTAAAATTTGGGGAACTGTCATAAGGGACATTACAAAAAGGACTTAGCACTAACCCAGCAGGGTTTCTTATGCTTGTTACTTACATTAAAAATAAATTTCACCACAATTAACCTTAAGCCTGGCCTCTGAATTGGTCTTATAATGAAGCTAAATAAGTAAACATGCAGATGACATTATTTGAGGTTTGCCTTTCCAAAAATATCTCTCTTACTGGAAACCCATGATGTCACCCTTTGTTCTTTCTAACCTGAATTTCACAAATAAAGTCACCTTTTTAGTTCGCATATAACGGTGAAGGCATCAAAACTGAAAATTTTCTGTTGAGTCATGTCAATTAACAGGTAAGCAAAAAGGTGGTTTAGGAACTAATCCTATCCTGAAAATAAATCAACACCTTTGTGTAGATCCTAAAGAAACAGGCAGTACCATCCTGATGGGGAGACATGTGGATAAAAGAGCAGAAGAAAGGAAGAGCAGGGATTAGGGCATATCACTCAGGCCTGTCTGGGAATCCACGGAGCACTGTGTAGGGGTCCAGGAAAACAGGCTAGAACTGTGTATTTTAGATAAGGGCAAAATTTGCTAACAGGGAGATGATATCAAAAGTGGATCAGAAGGGCATGGAAAGAAAGACTATACTGTGGCTTTTGTGACAGTTTCCTGCTTTCTCATGATGGTATCCCTCCCCGCTTGCTCAATAAACATGAATGAATTCATTTGTGCAGCAACTTCTCAATACCATACAGGTTCTCCTCGCTGAATATTAAAAGGAAATTAGGTTGGCTAGAATGAGAACTCTGGCTATTATTTAAGACAAGTCTGAAACAAAAAAAAATGACTGGTGGTGAGGGCTATTCATTTATTTTTTTACTTACTTTATAAACTGTTCCAAAAGCACCTGAGCCAAGTACTTTCACTCTTTTAAGCTCAGTTTCTTTCAAAATACGAAGTTGAGCTTGATTGGGCGCCGTGCCACTGGGAGTTAAGGGTTCTACCAACTAGAAAACAAAAATACAGGTTATAAAACCTTCAAGTCACCAATCAATGATTTTCTCCCTTTCTCTGCCTGCTTCTCTTTCTCATACATATAAGAAACACACAAGCACACTTTCCTTGACACACAATATTTTTGTTGTATGGATCACTGGATCACTCAAGATTCCTTAGGAGTCTATCCTTTCTCTTCTCATGCCTTTTGCCTGGGTGAACACCAGTATAAAAGCGTGTCTACTTTGAGGCATACTAAGCTAGGAGATCTCCTGTCCCCTTAAAGAAATGTAGGCTAATTAGGGGCTCTTCGTCTTACTTTATGAAGTCCTTCCAGTTTTGGCCTCTCCAGCTAAGACTCGGATCTTAGTTATGCCCATGTACTGGATCAGTTTTTTTCTTTCTTGTTTTAGGAGATTCAATACATAGAAAAATAAAATCTAGCAAGGAAGCCAAGACCGATGCGTCAAAAGAGAGAAGTAAGAGAAGAAAGTAAGTTAGCACGACGTCCATATCCCAGGACAGTGCTTCTAAAACTTTCATGTACATTTGAATTACCTGCAGTTCTTGTTAAAATGCAGATTCTAGTTCAGGAAGTGCGCGAGAGGGGCTGAAATTTGCATTTTTTGTAGAACTCCAGGTAGTATCTATGTATGATGATGTCCTTTGAACACATTTTAAGTAGCAACGCCTTAGAGTAATTAACAGATCAAATATTCTAAAATTCTATGAATTGATTCAAGATCTTAAGGAAATGCTATGGAATGCATAGGAATAAAACAGTCGCCAGTGAGAAAGTTTCACTAGTTCTGGCTTCCTGGAGGAGACACACCTTAGAATTGGGTTGAGGGGCACCTCGGTGGTTCAACTGAGTCTCTGACTCTTGGTTTCGGCTCAGGTCATGATCTCAGGATCCTGAGCTTGAGCCCTGAGTTGGGCTTTGCCCTCAGTGTGGAATCTGTTTGGAATCCTCTTTCTCCTTCTGCCCCTCCTCCTGCTTGTGCACCTGGTGCATGCTCTCTCTCAAATCAATCAATCAATGAAATCTTTAAAAAATAACATAAAATTGGTCTTGAGATAATAAAAATGGATTGACCCGGAGGAGGGTATTGCCATTATGAAGAACAGTTTGGACTCAGCATCAGGAAGAAGGAGGAAGACATAAAGCAGAATACAATAGAAGGTGGGACAGATCTGAAGGATGAGATTAGGGTGGGAAATACCAGATCATAAAGTGGGCTGGCTGTGGCCAAAAGGGACAAACTCAGGTAATTTTAGAGGTTCATTTTAAATGCCATTTAGCCAGAGAGGATGAATAAGCTGGAGAAAGGTATATGAGACCATATATATTGAACACCAATAAAAAAATAAATTTATATAAAAAAAGAAAGGTATATGAATGTGTGCCAATTTCTTGCATATATGAGAAAAAAGCAAAACAAAATATAAACATGAGAAAGGCTCTATGTACCAAAAGTCTGTATTTCATGTTAAAACTTTAGGTTTGTATCTGTGCTTGGGTAAAAAAGCAAGTAAGAGAAATTGAAGTTTCTCTTTTTAAAGTTAAATAAAGGGACTAAACTTTAAACTCAGACAAATAGCTTGTTCTTCCTCAGCATAAGGAAATAATTAAGGCACTCTTACTCAAATGGTGTTGAAAACCATCACGGTATTTCACAGTGTCTGTTTACAGTGCTAAGTGCACTGTGGCCCTGTGGCTTGGTTATTATTATGCTTCTGTGAACATCATGGTCTACTTAAGTAGCTGAACAGAATCTGGAGTCTAGGTAAGTGTAGCGATAGTAAGAATTTGGAGATGATAAAAATTATTAATAAATTTAAGCCACTGTCTAAAAGCTTAACAACAAATATGATCCCATTTCATTTGCAAATTTATATTTTTAAAAATGTATATAAAGTCACATAAAATAAATCTCAGAAAAAATCACACAATTCTTTGGTAAAATTGGAAGAAGAACCTCTGTCAGGGAGTTTCCTTCATTTAAATCCAATTCTGCTGTGCAGAATTTGTTTAGTAGATTTTGATACATATACTGCATGTATATAATCAGGAACTTTAATGAATAATTTTTTTAAATCAGATAAAATCTTATTAAAAATCATATGCAAAATTGGGGACTAGACTTCAGCACCTTGGGCCATATATATTTAAAATATATTCTTCGGCATATAATACACCATAATTTCATATTTTGAAAACTTTACAACTCTACCTGAAATGTTTAGTCTTCTGCAATTTTCTTAGATATCACTTAAAAATTTAAACAAACACAATTTTCCAGGAATTTGAGAATGATACCTTTAAAAGAAGCATTGTTTCATTTTGCAAGCCAGAATGACGGAAAGAATGTCAGGTTTAAATTTGTAGGTTTGTACACCAGTACTGCCACTTATAGGCTTAGGAAGCAATTTACCTCTCCTAACTCCTTATTTCACACCTGTGAAATAGGTACAGCAATAATTACCTTAGAAGATTGTCAAACGATGAAATGGGATGTAACTTGGCTGGAAAACTTTGGAACGCTGCCTGCCATATTGTAGCACTGAATCTGTCACTCTTCAAGGGATAGGATCATGTCCCATTAACACTTTTTAATCACAGTATCTGTCACAGGCATCAAGCTTACAGTGCATCTCGTAAGTATATATTGAAAAAAAACATATTTCCTACTTTTATGCATGTAACAGAAGATAGACAATCTGGAGCAATATGATTTTGGAAAAGCATATTAACTCTAAGTACATTCCAACAATATATCATGCTTTAACAAGTTTTTCACATCTGAGACAGATTTCTAGCTGTAGTATTTAAGGATTTGAGTTGATCCTCTTAAGAATTCCTCTTCTGTTTAGATGATAGAAAAATCACAGTTATTTACTTGTACTGAGAGAAAGATGGGAAATTCTACAATTATCTAATCCAGTGCTAAGTAATAACTTTTTATTAAAAAAATACAGTCTGCTTATAAAACCAATCAGTATGTGTTTATTTAGTAATGAAATGTCAATTTGAGGGACATTCCTAGAAAGCACTATATAAAAAAAAAAGAAAACAAAACAATTATTTTTATAACAATGAGACTTTCCTGCATGTAGTTAAGGGACAGAATTCATTTCCTATTTATTCAATCACCTAAATGTCCACTGCTGTTCCAAGACTTCAGTTCCTGTCCAACTCTAATTTACTTCACTTTTTAGAATTTTCTCCATGACTGCCCCAACCTGGCCATGAGGGAGGATTGTATCTGCCTCCAGCATCCTTGCTAAACTGAAAATATGCACAGCACACATGTTGTGCCCAAATTTGTATTCATGTGTGAGAGGTTAAAAATGACCGAGTTGATCTTTTGTAAATATCCAGCTCAAGTAAAAATGACTATTTTTTTTCTCGTGTATATAACATCTATCTTATGCTTGAACATTTCTATTGATAAGAAAACCCATTTTAATTGCAGACAAGTCCAATTTTTAGACATTCTTTCCCGCATGTAACTAAAGTAGTTTCCTGAACATTTCTCAGGATTCTTCTATCCAGTTTCAACTTCTGGAGGAAGAGAACTAAAATTTAATTCATTATCAGCTTGCAAAATTTATCAATGAATATTCTCATTCCTGTCTGTTAAGAGGAAAAGTCCGACTGTCACACTGACAATGTGCCAAAAAAGAGACCCAGCGAAGGTTAAGTCTCAGAACAGAATTGCTCTGAGTTGTTCAGACAGCCATGGATGTGAATATCAGGAGAAGGAGGGAAGGTGCATGTTGAGAAGGATCTGGCAAATCATAGTTTTCTGTAATTGTTTTTCCCCTGCAACCTACACAGGGAAAACTACCATCTTGCATGCCAGAGAACTCAGTGTGGCAATATAAAAGAAATTATAATAATTTGTGGGTAATTTACATATTCACAATAACTAACATGCATAACATTAAATGCTTCCCATAAATTGTGTGGTAAGGTCTGTGTGATTACAATAGTACGCTTTATCCTGTATGCTCAGCTTTTCACTGTTGGTATAATGGGATCAGTGGCTACCAATTTAATGACCCTAATTAAAGCATAAATTGCTTGCCTATCTGGCTTTGTTTTGAACCAGAAAAATTCTAACATTTTTCTAGTCCTGCTGTTGAGATATCCTCTACCCAGATGTTTTCTAGTTGTGCTACTGTAATATCCTCAAACTCTAGCGGGATTCCTCCTCCAAAAGAAACAGATATGTCTTTTCAATAAGATCTGTCATTCAATAAGATAATCTTCCTGGCCCCTGCTATTTGTCCTCTTTAAGTCATGAAACTGCCTTGACTACTTTTACTACATACTCTGATGTTTCATCAACTCTGTATAACATATTGTGAACTATAAACCCTCAGCAGGAAATTGAGCAGAGTTTTCACTTGGATTAAAAAACTGAATATCATCTGCACCCCTGAATCTAATGAAAATCCTTAAACAAACACACGGAGAGGAGATAAACACCTCACCTCTGTTTCCAGAAACCTTCTCAAGGCTCTTTTCTTTTTAATGCTCTTCCTTCTAACATAAACTGCAAATGTTAGACCCACGATGACCAGGATGAAGAGCCCACCGATGACTCCCGCTGCAATTAGAGGAGTTCTGACCACCAGAATGAAAAAGAAGAAGAAGAAAAATGTAAGAAGAGAGACAAGACAGAAAGAGAGAAAAAAAGAGCAGTTGTGCAATACATTATCCACATATCTCAAATCTGGTCAGAAGAAATACAAATAAAAAATGCATTAAAGCCATCACAAAATTTTTCTCAGGACAAAAACTAGTCCTGCTTTTTGTTTTGCTTTGTTTTTTAAATAGTAAACCATGCACATCCAATTGATCTTTGGAGATGAGGAGCCACGGCATGCCATTCAACAACAACAAAACAACAACAAAATATGACAGAATGAAGAACACGTGCCAAAATGTTGATACACAAGCATTTTAAATTATTTTCATTTTACTTTTTCCGTAAATAAATGGAAATATATTTTAGTAATATTGTTGTTGTATATAATAGTATTTTCAACATTTTCTCCAAAGCAGGCTTTCTCAACAGTGGCACTATTGACATTTTGGGCTGGACACGTGTTCACCTTGGGGGACTATCTTATGCATTTTAGTGTTTATCAACATCCTTGGCCTCCGCCCACTAGGTGCCAGTAGTACCCAACCCTCCAGTCATTACAATTTCTCTAGATATTGTTGACTGTCTGCCAAAATCGCCCCCCTCTTGAGAACTACTGCTCTACAGTAAAAATAAATTGTCTGAAGATATGTGACTCCACACCTCTAAAGCATGAGGGTATGGATAAGAGAAATGTATTGAGAAAAGCACTGTTTCAAACTCCAGCTATGCCACTGTACTAGGATAAAGGGGAAAAAATTAAAATAAATAAAATAAATAAAATAAAATAAAATAAAATAAAATAAAACAAAACAAAACAAAACAAATAAAATAAAATAAAATAAAATAAAATAATAAAATAGAATTGGGTCAGACAGGTTTTCAGAGTTATAATGACAGGAGTAATTGCTATTATCAAAAGTGTACCCAAGCATCATATACCCAGAAAAGAGGCCTACACATTAATTATTACAATTAAAGGTGTAAATAATATTAAAAGGAGGTTAGAAGAGATTCACTAGAGATTTATATTCTTAAAGTGTTTCTCTAATACACTGTTTGCTAAGATATAATTTTGACACTAATCATTTATTGTTTTCTAAGGTAAGCTTGTTCCTTGTTTGAAAATATTTATGGTCTTAACTTCTTGTTCTAGAGTAGAGTAGTATCTAGGAACTTTCTATGGTCAGAGCCCTGACATATATTAATTTCATGTGTCCTAGCAAAGAGCCCAGAGTAAAATACATAGGTATTACCTAATACATATTTGATCATGAAGCCATGACAGATACAAAAACAAAAAAAGAACTTTCTGCATGTCCATGATTTCCATAGTATTTTATCTTATATTCCTTTTTGCAGAAGAATCTACTCTATATAGCTATATTCTTTTAGAGAAAAAAAAAATACTGGCTCTTGTAAAATAAACGTTTGCTCAAAGACACATCAGAAATAATGATAGCGGATGATCCTAAATAAAATTTTTAAATTTTAAAGAGCTCTTGAAAAAAATCTGTTACTTCTATAAATGAAGCCATGTCTTTTAAAGATTATGACTGTTATATTGCCATATAAAACTACAGAAAAACCTTAAGAAGTAATTCATTCTAAAGGTTGTTTCCTGACAGCCGAAAGTACTATAGCATACTGGAATGTTGCTATAATTCAACTAGATTTTCCTAAATGGAATTTTATAAAGATATAAAAATCTATGCTGAGAAAATTAAACTGTAGTATGGACACAAACTCATCATTGTGATGTGTTTTGGCATGTGTAATATCATATTTTTGAGCATGGCAGTTAAATATGTATTTCAAAAAATATTTTAAGTTTTCAATCCAAGGCATAATTTCCAGCTCAAGTGCCTAACATATCCCCGAAAAAGCCATTGCTACACAAAGAGTTATAATTTTGTTTCTTCAACCCAGCATTTTTATTGCAAAGGATTTATGTAGGCCTCAGAGTGCTCAATACTTTGTTAATTGTAGATTTGAATTAAACTCTAAACTTCCTCTGCTTATGTATTTTGCAAAAGAATAAGTGGCATGGATTTATGAAAATATATGTCAATGTCACTGTAAATTAACAGAAAATGCTCTATTTTGTTTTTGTTTGTTTTCCAATTTAAGAAGAATCATTCCTAATAGAAGAAAATAAGACCTCTGCTTCCATTCTTTCCATTTAATTTCGGTGGCTATCAATTGTCATGTCATTACTACTTATTTTGGTGATGGCAATGAACATAAAACACTCGAAAACTCAAAAGACAGTAATTTCTGTGTTTTTCTAGTTAGCATTTACATTCAATATTTTCCCACAGCAGTTTCTTGGTTGATTTGCATTTCTTTACCACTTTTCTTCTCTTTCCACCCTGCAAGAGTGGTAGAGGTACAAACAACCTGCAGAGGTAAAGAACTAGAGTTCCTACACCTAAAAAATCATACAAAAATGTTTTGTTGGACATTTTAAGTGGTAAAATTCTTCATATTTCACAAGAATTTATTCTTGAAAAATTAATCGTAAACCACACAACTAAGCAACCCGGGCGAATTGAGAAGGAGGGAATATTCTGTAAGACAATTTGTATGTTCTCTTTAATAAGTGAATATGAAAAAAAAATGTACTGGTTTTGATTAAGAAAACTTACTAGTCATAACAAGATGTGAAATGTGATCCTGGACTGGACGTTAGTTTGGACAACCATTAGTACAGACTTTTTTTAGGTAACTTGAGAAGTTTGATTATGGATTAGGTAGTAGTTAAGATACCATTATGGAAAAATGCAGACTAGAAATTTAAAAGATTGAGTTAGAAACAGCAGAATTTCAATGAAATATCCATACGCGCACATGTGCGTGCGTAAGAACTAGAATATAGAATAAGATACTGACAGTACTCGTCTTTGGAGAGTATGACTATAGTGCTCATATTTTTGAATTTTTACTAATGAGCATTTTCTAATTTTATACTATGTTTTTATGTTTCTTTTAAAATAAAAGTTTGTTAAATTTAAGAGAAACAGAAATCATTATCTAAAAGTTTTGTTTTATAAAAAATGGTCTTGTTTTCTTTTTTTTCCTCAACTGTTTACTTTGTATGTCTTCAGTTAATTCATTTCACTATCCTCTGTCTACTTTTACCATGTAAGGAACCTCTGTAGATATTTTCTATTCATTATAGTTTAATGTGTCTGAGACATTTGCCACTATGTTGTGTACAATTAACATGATGCTTTATAAAACCAAGCTCATCTGAAAAGCTAATACTACTTACACATTTCCTACTTTCCACAATTTTGAGGATCCCTAGATATTTTAGGTGTAGGACAGATGATCATTTTTTCCTGAGAGTTAATGCTTCAACTCTTTATAACCTTTTTAAAAAAGGAGATAAATACTTAAATGTTTTTTTTTCTTAATTACTGTCTATTCTTCCTAGATATGATGCTGGCTACTGCCAACCAAGCTATATTTCTGAAAGACAATGTTCCTTTTATATACGTGAGTCAGTGTAACCTCTTAAAAGGCTGAGATATGACACTATGAACAAGATCATAAGGGTCAAATGCCAAGGGAACTAGAATGCTCTTGTCATCACTTATCTCTAACAGGAGTATTGTTTATTTATTATCATTTGCCTATATATTATAAATGGACAGGAACCCTAAAATATCAAATGCCAATTCTGCGCTTAGATCAAAAGGATATAATCAACTGATAATTTACCTTATTTTGTGATTTGGAAATACTATAATGAAACAGATATTCTCCCGGTAGTCATAGAGAGTAATATAATAAAGATTCTGAATCACAAATGAACTTAGCTCATTTATTTTAAAACATATAATTTAGTTTTCATAATTTCATTTAGAAGTTCAGAGACAACACAGTGTATTACATTCCATTCCCTTGAATCCAATTACCTGTCTTAAACATTTATCTATAAAAGAATGGTGTCTCCCAAAACTATATTACTTATATAAAAGAGATATTCTTAACAGTTATTCAGTGTTGAATATAAAATGTGAGAGAAAACATGAAATCTGAATTTATAAACATCCAAATGTTTTCCTTCACTGATCGGTTTCTTTCCAGATCAGATCAGGAAAAAAAAAATCTAGTAAAGTCAATATAATTTATGATTAAAACTCAATGGCTCTAAGACTATTATACCATATTCCATTTAACGTCAAGGGCAGGCTATCCTCCAAAAAATAAAATTGTAAACTTAGTAAAACTAGTATTTTGACTAAAATAGTCATTGCAAAGAATGCTAAATCCATAAGATTCTTTTTATAGATATATACCAATAAAAGGACTTTAATTTTATAATATGGGTATATTTTCTTTATTTCTTGAATACAGAATCATTTTCAACACAGGTAAGATAGACAACCTGAAGTCCCAAAACACCAATGATATAACTTGTAACCAACAGTATGACTTTAAATCAGTGAGCTCCATTTCTGGAAACTTCTGATTTTTTTTTTTTTTAATATTCATGACAGTCACACAGAAAGAGAGAGAGAGGCAGAGACACAGGCAGAGGGAGAAGCAGGCTCCATGCACCAGGAGCCCGACGCGGGACTCCATCCCGGGTCTCCAGGATCGCGCCCTGGGCCAAAGGCAAGCGCTAAACCGCTGCGCCACCCAGGGATCCCCGAAACTCTAAATTAAATAATGTGGACATGGGTCTCAGAATTCATTGGATCAGACTTAGAGTGGATTCACTGTTTATGTCTGGGTACTGAAGGTTAAACAGAATTTTTAAAAATTTACATAGGAAGTAAAAACAATAGGCTAGTCAGAAAATTTTAACTAGGCATTTTTGTATAATAAACTTTAAATAAAATGGTAAAATAGTGCCTCTAACATTATTATTTCTTTGCATACCTTTCAAATCTGCATGATTTTTCCTTAGAGTGGCATATTGTGTTGGAAAGAGGTTTTAGAGTCAGGCCAATCTGTATTTTAATTA